TTTTTAATTACCTATCGAATGGCACTAGGATGTTTATAACTAAGTTTTTGCCTTTTTACAAAATACACCAAATAATGGTTCTGTGCACCATTTGGTGTTTTTTTAGGTTAAAGGTTAAATAACATATCAACAATAACATAAACCAAAGGCAAATTATATATAACAAATGTTAGAAATGTTGACCGTCCATTTCCAGGCACTTGTAAATTCTTTTTTCAAAACAACTGCTAACTCTGGACAACATTTGCGAAGTTACAGTTTTAAAAGCGTCTCTTATGCGTGTTTTCGTATCGTGTGAAGTTGTCGGAAGCGTATGGTAGACAATTCCTTTTATGTACCCCCACAAAAAGAAATCTAGTGGAGTTAAGTCCGGAGATCTGGGGAGCCAATTTTGAAACCCATTTCTGCCAATCTACCTATTTTGAAAGTTGGCATTTCAAAATTGCCGAACATCGCAGTGATAATGAGGCGGAGCTCCATCCAATTGAAGCGACATGTTGATTCTAATATTGAAAGGGACATCTTCTAATAATATTGAGAGATGGTTTATTAGAAACTGGAGAAACATCAAACCATTTAGATGTCCTTCAAAAAAATAGGGTCCAATTAAATTAAATACTGGCCCAGTATTCCACCCCACACATTAACTGACCACCTATTTTGATTTTTCATAACCCTGTATGCGCGCGGATTCGTATTAAAATAATAATGAAAGTTGTGTCTATTCATGAGACCATTGTTATCAAAAGTACATTCATCACTAAATAACACATTTTCACAAGGATAAAAGTTGTGCTTTTTGATAATTCTGGAAATACTTGATTGACTAATGTTAGTAGGTACTTTTGGATATTGGATTTTGACTAACATTGGGATTTTCGATAACTGAACCAATTACCGTGACCACATTTTCTTCATCTTCAGTGACCGATTTCCTTTAAATGGGTTTTTTATAATTGACACTCCCACTTTCCTCAAATTCGTGTAATAAGCGCTTAAAAACTGTTGGCTTGGGATCATTTCTTTCAGGAAACTGTTGAGCATAAACTCGAGAAGCCAATAAACAATTTTTATGACATTCTCCAAGGGTGAAACTCATGTCAATACGCTCTTCTCTTGGATAATTCTTCATTTTAACTTAGCAACACAATAA